CCCCCGTCAGCTATGCAGTCCCCTGCTCGCCCGCCACCACCGCGGGCACCCAGACCCATAGACAACATTCTTAGGGGAGCCCTGCCCAGTGGAGCTCTGATGCCCACTAAGTTACTGGTGGGGAACTTCTGGAAGGGGGTTCTCTAAGTGTGCAAATGAGAACTGGCCAAGACTTGGGGAGAGGAGGCACCTTTTTGGGGGAGGGTCTTAAGTCCGGCAGAGCTGATGCAGGCGGAAAAGGACACGCGGAGTTGCATAATCAGCTGCTTCTTGTTCCACAGCCTAGCTCCAGAAATGTTCCCCCAAAGCCCTCAATCAGAGGGTCGCCGTTCAGGGCTTGTTTATCACACTGTGGAGGGACTGGAAGCAAGGCTTGCGTGCCCCTGGAGTGGGGGTCGCAGCTTTGAGCCTCACTCAGATGGGGGCCTTGTGAGCTCCCAAGTATACCCCCAGACAAGGACACATGCATGCATACAAATGTGGTGGTGGTGGGGGGGTGAGAATGTAGAGACTGTGGCTCAACCCACCTGGGGTGGAAATGCAGAGGTCTGCACCAGCAGAGGGTGGCACCAAAGGGAACCTCTTCAAAGTCCTGCTTCCAAACATTCAGAACCCTGCACCCCAGTCTCCCACCTGATCCTCTGGCAGCTGCTTCCCACTCGTGTGCAAGCCAGGGAGGGAGAGGGACTCAGACAGGGTGCTCCACTGGCCCGGCACATGCTGGGTACCAGGTACAGTGCATGGACGGGCCAGCCCCCACAACCCTACCAGGTCACTCCTAGTGGCCATCCCCATTTACCAGAGGAGAAAACTGAGGCCCAGAAAGCTCTGGAAGGAGCCCTGATAGCAAGTGTTGGGCTACGAGTCGGTGTTTCAAATCCAGCAGCTGCCCCGAGGGAGAACAGTAAGGCTGTCTGACGGATTTACAGCTTTGGAGACCCCCTTCTAGGGTCTCTCTGGGTCAGCAGCAGGTGTTGGTTTAGTTATGCCCTAGGAGTCCCTGGCTGGCGCAGATGGTGAGGCCCGGGACTACGAACTGAATGACTGGTCGTTCAAGGCCTCTTGGGTGCCTCAGAAGAAGGGCCTGACGCTACTTCTTCCGAATGACCACCACCATTGACATGCTATGAGCACCCTTCCACTCTGCCACGCCCGGGGTCACCAGGAGTCAGGATCAATAGCAACTGTATTTTTTTTTTAATATGACTTAGGCCTTATGTGAGGCATGGAAATGTAGTGATCACAGACATGTCCCTCCTCTTACTTGCCCGTTAACAGTTCAAAACCACCAGCTGCTCCTCAGGGGAAAGATGAGACTTCTACTCCCATAAAGAGTTCAGTCTCAGAAACCCACAGGGGCAGTTCTAAATTGTCCTATGAGGTTGCTGTGAGTTCGAATCGACTCGATGGCAGGGAGTTTTTTTGTCTTGTTTTTTTAAGCACAGGAAAATTGAGGCTGAAAGGTGACGTGACTTTTCGTAAGCTCAAGCAGCACGTCAGGGGTGGAGCTGAGCTTCAAACCCAGCACGCCATGCCTGGGAGTCAAGGAAGGGCAAGAGGGGAGATGTGGGGCTTGGGAGGCCATTTGGTGAACGGGTAAGTAGCTCCTCCCTTTGCTGCCCCCCAGGAGTGGATTCTAGAGCCTAGCCCAACGTGTTGGCCATCTCTTCATTCACAAAAGCCTCCCGTTATGCACCACGTACTAAAAGGTGTTTAGAAAAATGTCTCCCTAAATTATATAAAATAAAT